TTGCGAATCATATTTTTATCTCTTATTTTATTATGTAATAGGACTCGTTTTAATAGCTTATTATAATTTATGCTGTTTTAGCATGTTTAAGAATTAAAAAAAAAAATCATTATCATTTGTACTCATTTAAAATTGTGCATAAATTATGTATATAATAATAATAATAATAATAATAAAAAAGAAAAAAGAAAGAAGTTGAATACTAAATCATGTAGAGAATAAAAAAAATATATTAAAAAAATCCTTAGTCCACATGATTCACGATGAACTTTTTATTTATTTAATAATCGATTGGGTAAGAATGAACAGCTCAACCAATCCGAAATTTTGTTTAATTTAATACTAAATCCCCACCAATTGTGGGTTTAGAGTCTTACAAATACGAGGATATGGACCATAAACATGATGTGTGCAAGTTGTTTTAGGTATTTATATATTAAGAATCTCAAACAAAAAAAATGTGACGAAAATTAATTTTATGTATTTATATATTTCTTTCTTAAGAATCAAACGTTAAGAATATGAGAGTGGTCACATCGTGTCTTGTGMAATTTAATTTAATTAGTTATTTTSGATCTAGACAATACTGATTAACTTCTTTTCAYAACTCACAAGAATTATTTAGAAAAAAAAAAGTCTCGTGGTAGGTTCCTATGCCAACAATATTTATTTATTATTTTATTATGGAAAAGAACTCGTTTCAATAGCTTATTTCAATAACTTAAYAAAATTTATGCTAATTTAGTAYCAAAACGGACGTAGTTCAGCAATAATTRTCATATATCTCTRACTAAAAATTGTGAGTTCGATTCCCTATCYCTAGATGTTGTACTAAAAAAAATTTATGCCGATTTAGCACGTTTACTAATTCAGAAAAAAATTATTATCATTTGTACTCATTTAAAATTATGCAGAGAAAAAATAATTAAATTAAAAAATACAAGAAAAGAAAGAAGTTGAATCATATAATGTAAAGGGAASTAGAAGCAAAGTTAAAATTGGCCTACAACTGTGGGAATGGCTATAAATAGAGCATGGTTGTAGCTGTGTCTGCTATAGAGAAAGCTACTAGAAATGGAAAAGAAAGGAATTGCGTTGGTTCTGAGCACCTTGGTAGTGATAGCAAGCTGTGATTACAATTACTACCAAGTTACACTGCAATGGCAACCAGCTACATGCAGTGATACAAACCTGCAGAGTCCATGTGTTAACACTCCACAAGATAGATTTAGTATCCATGGCGTGTGGACATGGCGTGTGGCCTACTTTATCGTSGGGATCTTATCCRCAATGTCCTGGTACTCCGGCCTACGATGGTAGCAAGGTAACTCATATTTGTAACCCCATGTTGGTTTAATTAAATTATTTTCAAARTATAAGGATGCATAATATTTGATTCTCTCTAGATCTCCAYGATAAGAAATCGTCTAAACACCGATTGGCCAAGTGTAATCTACGGAACAAACCCGAYACTATGGAGCCACGAGTGGACAASCCATGGAACATGCTCTTATCCATCTTTGAGTCAACTGGACTATTTTACGTTCGGACTAGACACGTATGCTAAATACGATATCTTATCCGCTCTC